ATTCTATTCTATTCTATTCTATTCTATTCTATTCTATTCTATTCTATTCCATTCCATTCCATTCCATTCTCTCCTCTCGTTTTCTTCCCCTCCCTTCTGCTCACGCTTTCTTCACCAGTATTTTATGAAGTGTCATATTTCTTCCCATAAATAATGAGCAAAAGTAACGGAATGGTAATAACTGGAAATATTAATGTTTGCATTTGCCTTGTAACCCTGTGAGTAAGCCTCGGAACACAGCTTTCAAATGCCACTTTATGAATTAAAGCATTAGTTAAGAAAAAGACAGTTGAATTCTGGATGGGTTGTTGGTAACCTGTATTGGTATAAGCTTTGCGGATTATTTAATTACTAGCCATCAATCTCTCTGTAGGTTTAGTTTATCAAACAAATGCAGTTTCTCTGGAAGTATCATATTTGTTATCATATTTAGATTCAAAGTCAGAGGGGTTTTGTTTATTTTTTGGGGACAGGTGGAGCCCTCAGTATGTGATCCATATAACTTCCATGTTCAGGTAAGTCCTAAACATTCCCCCCTCCCCTTTTTTTGTCTGTCTGTCTGTCTGTCTCTGGCTTAGGGATCAATTATAGGGTGCATAGAGGTCTTCAATAACAGTCTATGCTTGGACTTCAAAAAGTGTTTTAGGCTTTCCTTGAGTTCCTTAAGTGGGAAAGGTTCCAAAGGAAAGCATTCATGCCTGTATCGTTTTGGAAAGATCCAGGTGCTAAGGGATGCTTTTATATCCTTTCCTGAATTAGCTGATGAAACTGAAAAGAGCTTAGAAAGATTATTTAACACGTTCAAAGTTCAGAATTTATTTATGGTCCAAATCTAATCATATTCTGAGAGAAGCTTGTCTAGACTAGTCTTTGTCTGCTTTCTTTAAATGAAAAAAAATGGTTGTGGGAAAAGAATATTATACACGTCTGACCTGGATTAGTTTAGAATGCCAGGCTAGGATCAAAACATCAGTATTCAAATCTTGATCTAGCTACGAGTTTATTAGTTGATATTACCCTGTTTCTCCAACAATATGGCCTCCCCCAATAGGAAGTCCCAGCATGTTTTATAGGCATGAAATGAAATTAAGCCCCTCCCCCCAAATTAAGGCCTATATTAAAACATGCGAAATGGGGGGGAATGGTGGGGTGGCTTGCCGTTAGGAAGTACTTTTGTTGCACACCTGGATATGGTGCTGCCTGCGTTGACCCCGATACGAAGTGCCCCACCAACGCCGAGGTCAACATCCAAGCCGTCGCCGCCTGCCCGAAGATGCAAAGGGGGGGGGGGGGAATTAAGTCACCCCCGAAAAGACGGCCTAGCCATTTTTTCGGGGCTCAAAAAAAAATAAGACCCAGCCTTATTATATGAGAAACACGGTATCTTTCTTTCTTTTTTTAAATAAAGTTTTATTTGGGTTTTCACACACAAAATACAAGTAAAACATCTTTTTTGAAAATAGCAAGGTCCCGGGTTGAACTTCTTTATACAGACACAAAACTCAATTTCATGCTTCTTTTTGTATTCTATTCCATATCTTATACTATTTTACATTTTCTATATAGTTTTTCCCCTCTTAATTTTCTCAATTTTATTTTGATTATTATCTCAATTCATTATATTTATACTTTTGTCTGTTCTGTTTCAATTTCACATGATCTTTTCTCATTAAACAAATTTTCTCCTGTAGTTACTAATTGGAGTATGACACCTTTATATCTTTTAATTACATCCATTCAACTCTTATTTAAACTTTAATATATACCTTAAGTTTATGACCTTCAATATAATATATAATACATAACTTCCAATCGAATTCTGCTTGGTACATTCTTATAATACACGCTATATTCTTTAAAAAAAGAAAGAAAGATTGTAAATATATGTAATTATAAACCCTCATTCCATTCCAGTTCTGTTCTATCATTAATAATCATTAAAATCTTAACATCTTTAACACTTCTTTTCAATTAAATATCATACTTCCTTAAAAACACACATAATCTCCATAATTAATTTTTCCCTTATTTTTCTTCACATATGTTTTATAAATCATTAAATATACCTTTTGTTACATTTATTTATTGACAAGCATTCCATTGAATTACGATAGCTATTTTATCAGACATTTTAATCATACATTGTTTCATATTTTCTAAAATTATTTCTGCTTCTAATATAACCATACTATCTTATGTACCTTTGCAGAATCCCTTTTTCCATTAAGTTTTCACCCATTATCTCTAAATAGGCCCTGTTTCTCTATATTTAGCTTCTGTCCTTTATAACTTCTTTTCCTTTCTTTCTTCCCTCTCATCTTCTCCCTCCCCTTTTTACCCCCTTGTCTCTCCAGTTCTAATTCTCTCTTCTGCATTTCCCTCTTCTGTTGCTTTCTGATTTTATACTTATTTTTCACTCTATATTTTTTTTTTTGGGGGGGGGGGAGTTGTTTTTCCCAATCTTAAAACTTTCCATTCTCTTTCCCCCCTTTCCTTTTTTCCCCCCATCTAAGATTACTTGTTCATTAAAGGTGGCTTCTTCTTTGTCGCAATCTTCTTGTTCTGCAGGCATTTCTTGTTGTTTCTCATAATTCTAAATCTCCATTTCTAAAAACTGAAATACGAAGCCAAAAGAACCTCTCCCTTCTTGTGCATCTTCTTTGTACTTTTTAAGTTCCATTTTCAGTTCTTCTAAAAGTGGAGCCATTTTAAACAGTTTTAAACAACCACCCGATTGATTTTAGTCATTCAAAACAATAACCAAGAATCCAGAAATCATCAAGTAATCCAGATAGTCCCGAGTTATATCTTCTTATTTCTTTTTCGACTTTCTCTTCCTGGGGTTTTTGTTGCAATATTTCAGTTATAATGTATCTTTTGGAAGTCTTGTTGAGATTTTGCTATAAGTTCTTTTTTAATTCCAGGCAGTCTCCTCCCTTCCAGATCCTACCCTTTTATTCTTTTTCTTTCCTTTCCTGTTTTCAAAAGCTTTTAATTATCCAGAAATCTTTATTATCCCTTTGACTTTTTATTTTCAGCATTAAATGCCTATTGATGTCAAAGTGGATTTTTTCCCCAATTTCTTACTTAAGTCTCTTAGCTGTCAGTATAGGAAAAGGAGAAAACCAAATCTTTTCCCTTTTCTCTCTCCTTCGCAGCTTAAAAATCTTCTTAGGGAACAATGTTATTGTTTTGTAACAGTTTCAATTCCAGGGTACCTTATTTGTTGCTTTTGCTGTTTGACCCGGTCAACCAAAACTTTCTCTTCTTATCTTCCTCCTGCACATTCTTTTCCGGTCGAGTTCTTCTTTGTGGTGGCCATTTCCGACCACCGCTGCAACCGCCTTCGGGAAAGGGAGTAATGGCCAGCTGGGGAAGAGAGATGCGGCTCTCCTCAACCCTGCTGGCAGTCTCCCCCCTCTTCACCACCTCTACGGGGTGGCTTAGCCCCGAAACCAGCCGGCTCGGGGCGCTCCAGCGGCGAGCACGGATCGAAGCCTCGCAGAGACGAGGTTTCGGTCTGTCGCTGAAGAAGCTCAAACCGGAAGTCCAGTTGATATTATCTTTCATTGGCTGGATCCCTGTACTGTGTTAACTTACAGCTTTGTTTTAACTTTGGTTTGTGATTAAACCACAACAATCCATTATTTGAGTCATGCTTTGCAATCCATAGTACCCCAATTTATAGGATTTAGTGAGCCAAAAATCAACCAAAATATCATGTGTAATGTATGCCACATAGAATTGTTATAGAGCTGGGCAGTCTCACAAAATTGATAAATTAACCTAGTCTTCACTTCAGCTGACTCAGGTTTATTGCGAAGATTAACTGAAAAGAAGAGAACCAGTTTTGTTCCTTTGAAGAAAGCCAATGTATAATAATATATACATAAATAAATGTATGTATTAGTTTGCATCTTCTGATGTAAATGTGATGCTATCTTCTGAAAAGGCACAGATCTGTCTTTTGTTTCACTATGCAGGGATGTTCCATTGAGTAAAGAAGAATTGCAATTTGTGGTAGAAAAGATCTTAAGAATGTTCTCAAAGTTAGATCTCCAGGAAATCCCACCTTTAGTGTATCAGCTGTTGCTACTTTCTTCAAAGGTAATGCTTTTGGGGAAATTGCCTTCCCAAATTTTCTAATATCATAGTTTCACGGCTCGGAGGAATTATCCCGTTTACCCAAAGATTTGGCAATACGGGTCATGTAACACAGTTATCTCATAACTTCTCAGGGTAGCAAGAAAAACATTTTGGAAGGGATTGTCAACTTTTTCAACCAGATGGATAAAAAGCAAAAAGAAGAGCAGAGAGATTCAAAGTAAGTCGTTTTTCTCATGTTCTCGATTTGAAGTTGTGACCATCTATTGCCCTTTGTTGAAGCAGACTTATTGCCTTCGCTTCTTATTACAAGCGAAATTCAATCTTCCAGATCCCTGGAACTTGAAGAAGCTACAGTGCCCTTAGAACAACTCCGCCACGTGGAAGGCACCATCATTCTGCATGTTGTCCTAGCGATAAATCTGGACCATGATCTAGGAAAGGAGCTAATAAAATACTTAAAGGTATATTAAATGAAGAGTTAAGAGACTGAGGTGATCTTGGGCAAGCAATATGGCATTATTTCTTTGTAAATAGGAAGTCCTCTTAAATTGCTTTGCATTGTTTTGATGCCTCTTAGACAGAGCAGCAAGGAGATCCTAGCAAAGCCCTTTGCCCCTTCAGTGTGACCATTCTGCTTTCAATGGCCAGAATACACCGATTTAAAGAACAGGTATGTCCGTCTTTCTAGATTTTGAGGGTTTCTCACAGTCAATTACAGAAAACTTGGTCATGCTGCCATATTTAGTTATGCTTGTTCTGTACTGAATATGCTGAATTCTTCCCTTCAAGACACTGATCGAAGGAAGTCCTAATTGCTCATTCTCATGGTATTTTAGATATTTGACTTTCTGAAAACGTCAGTTATGAAAACTTTCAAGGACAAACAGTTTCTTCAGGGCTCCAGGTTTCTACAGGATTTAGCTCCTCTGCAGTATGATGTATCTGACATGTTTTTGGAAGTTGTAGCAAACAGGTGAGTTACTACAACAGCCTGTCAGTTGAGAGCAATTAATGCAAGGAATTTTACCTTTTCCTCCTGCTAAACCTGGAAGCTTTGTAAACGAACCACATTTATTATAAGAACTTTAAAATACAGGTGTAGAATCCCTTCATTGTGCTGTTGTCAGGATTCTGGCAATCGCTCTAATTAAATCTTGATTCTCGAGCCAAACTTCAAAAAACATCAAAGGATTTATTAGAGGTGACATACTGGCACTGCCCTGTGTGAAGCCAACTCTGGCATACTTAATTTACAGTCACCTGTGACCCTGTTTCCCCCCTCCCATCTGGGTGTCTCATAAACCAGATTCTCCAATTGAGCACATTCATGGGCTGGGTGTCATCATTCACATTCCCCAATTAAATATATTCATGGACAAAAACTCTGGTATTTTAGTTACAATCTTTTAAAGATAAGAGTTGGAATGTACTTTCGCTTTCAACTGCTCTTCCAGATTCCCTTCCTTCCCACCCACCCCTTTTTATGGCAACTACTAAAACAGGCATAGGAATATTTTATGAGTTGACAGCTGTTTTCTTTTCTCTCTCTCTCCTCCCATGCAGCGTGTTTGGTTGGGATCATGTGACTCAGGGTCTGGTAGAACTTGGGTTTATCCTGATGGACTCTTATGGGCCAAAAAGGCCTTTTGGAGGTAAAGCCATGGAAAGTAACCATATTCTGCCCAAAACTCCAGCCCAGCAAGTGTGTAAATTGGGAGCTGATATCCTCTTGGAAACTTTCAAGGTAATGTAAAGATGGAATTGTGTGACGCTGTAGATATAATATTAAGATTTTTTTTTCTTCTGCTGATATAGGATTTCTTCAAATTCTTATGATAGACATATTTCTAGACTGTCTTTAAAGGCGAAACTGAAGCTGTTTTGATACGTTTTTCCTTCTCAAATTAATTTTTTTAAAAAAATTTTTTTAACCCTGCCTCTTACTACCTGCGGGAAACAGGAAACAACAAAAGGAGCAAGCCTTTGCATGAGATTTAGTTCAGGGCAAATCTGTTAATGGAGTGGGCTAAGGGTACAGCTTGTTTTTTTGCTTTTAGGTATAAAGCCAACTTTCATTCATAAATACTATTTAAATAGTTAAAACATGAGGGTAACCTACAGTGGTGGGATTCAAATTTTTTTACTACTGGTTCGGTGGGCGTGGCTTGGTGCGCGTGGCATGGCTTGGTGGGCGTGGCAGGGGAAGGATACTGTAGAATCTCCATTCCCTCCCCACTCCAGGGGGAAGGTTACTGAAAAATTCCCATTCCCTCCCCACCCCGCTAACCTGCTTTCCAGCTCTGTTCTCCTGTGCAGGGCAACCAAAGAAGACACATCCAATCAGCTGGGACTTGATGGGAGGCAGAGAATAGATGGGGGCGGGACCAGTCAGAGGTGGTATTTGCTGGTTCTCCGAACTACTCAAAATTTCCGCTACTGGTTCTCCAGAACTGGTCAGAACCTGCTGAATATCACCCCTGGGAATACCACCTCTACTACCTGGGAAAGTAAAACTAATATATCACACCACCACAGAGAAGCCCAGAGATGCATCGAAGTGCTTATAGATGCATTTTTCTGTGCTTATCAGTAGGATTGGGGAGTAAACATATTTGGGGCTTCCTGGTAAAGCAGTCAACCAATGTAGCACAACTTCCAAAGCCTATAGCATTTCTCTTGCAACTAGATGGAGAAACCTTGCATTCTTTTTTAAAAAATACCCTGTCTTCCAGGTCCATGAACCAATCAGAAGTGAAATTCTAGAGCAAATCCTGAACAGAGTGGTCACAAATGCAGGCGTTCCCATCACCCACTTCATAGGTAACTTTTGAACTCACAGCCTCCTGATTGTGAGGTGAGAGCTCCACCTCTAGGCCACTGCACCACTCAAGCTTCCAGTACACTATCTCAAGAAAAATTCATCAGCCAGGAATTTCCCCAGGCTCCTGACTTAAAAAAGCAAATGATAGTTGGGAAAGAGTATTTCTATACTGCATGAAACCATAACGGCTTACTCAGCAAGCCATGATGATGTAAATAATTCCTCTGCCATATATGAATTCAAGAAGATACTGATTTCAAGATTATTATTAGTTGATTTTCATCAAGGCCAAGTAGGCTATGTACCCATGTTTTCTGATCTCAGTAGGACATGTTAAAAGGGCCTGTTAACCCTTTAACATAGCAAAACAAGCAGGGGCTTGAGGAAAAGTAGTGAATCAATCCTCTTCTTTAATCTATGAACTTGAATTGAATACTTTATGTTGGCCAAGTGTGATTAGACATGCAAGGAATTTGTCTCCAGTACAGAAGCACTCGGTATACATGCAAAGCAACAGAGAGAATAATACCAATCATAGGAAGAAGTAAAGAAGATGATAAAAAGGATAAATAATACTACAGCCACACTACATGGGTATTACACAGAACTGCAAATAAACATGTATCTGCCTTCCTTTTTGAAAGGATGTGCTTAGTCAGAGCATCCTGTCCTTTTCCGTACCAGATGCCACAGCTTTGAATGTTCTCTCTTCCTTTCTTTGCAGACTTATTGTCCAGCATAATTCTATCTGCTCCTCTTGTCCTCCAGAATTCTTCCTCTAATGTTACAGAAGCTTTTGAGCATTTATCTTTCCTCCCTCTTGACACAGTTCAAGGGTTTCTCAAGGCTGTACAGGTAAATGTAACATTATAAATATGTAGTTGCTCAAAAAGGGGTACTTTTAAAAACACTATAGATCAGGGGTCCCCAACCACCGGGCCGCGGACCGGTACCGGTCCGTGGAGCACTCTGTACCGGGCCGCAAAGAAAATAAAATAAAAAAAATGGCGGCTTTCTTCGCCTTCGGTGAATGCTGCTGGGATCAGGGATCAAGGACACAAATGAAAGAAGGGGAGGGAGGAAGCAACCAAAGCCTGTCCTGCTCTCCGGCTCAGCAGCTTCGGTTTCCTCCCGCCTCGTTCCTCTCTCAGTCGCTCTCTCGCTCCTCCACCAGCCCAGGAAGAAACTGCTTCAAAGGAGCCGGCAGGGTGGCTTTTCCTGTGGGCGCAGCTCCCCCGAAGCGCCCGTTCACCCCCACCCCGCCGCCAATCAATCCAGGTTCAATCCAGTGCTCCGTTCTGCCTGCCTGCCTGCCTTCGTTTGTTTCGGAGCAGCTTCGGCTGAGAATAATAACTATTCGCCTCTTTT